TGCTTGCTTCAAGTCAAGCACTTCTTGGTGTCCTACCCTCTACCAGTGAGGAGCTGCACAAGGAGCTTGGGGGGCATGGCCAGGGCAGCTGACCCAGGCTGGCCAAAGGGAAATTCTATAGTATAGAATATCATGCCCAGGATATAAACTGTCCACGGGTGTCAGCGAGACACTGAAGATATGGCAGCTTACATTAGGTTTTGTAGAACAAGTTTGGCAGCATGTGTTACCACAGTATCATAAGAAAAATTTTTTCCTGGGAGCACAGGAATGCACTGTCACCTGTCCACTCACTCAGTAATCCTAATATCACTCTTTTTAGGCCTTTCACAGGGATTTGGGGATACCTGCTATCTAAAGAAGATATCTAAAGGTCTTCTGCAATGAGATTGTTAACCAAGATTCTCTAAAATTTCTAGCTTTTTTAGGTACTAGAGAAAGTCAAATCAGCCAGGCTTTTTATATTATTTTACTTTCTAGATTCCAGATAGTACTGTGACAGTGTGAAATATATCTCCCACATTTACATGGAATTTTTATCATCTAGTAATACCATATTGCCTCTGAAATTTTTAAATATCGGGTGCCTGCCAGGTATCTGGCATCGTAGGAAGGCAAAGCCTGTTGCCATGGAGCTTTGAGGACTTGCTTCCCCATCAGCATACCTGCAGCTAGAGAACTGGCTAAATGATCTCATTGTAGGAGTAGTTTCATCAGGGTGGAGGCAAACTAGGAAGTGAAGGAGTAAAAAATGGATGGGGGTGTTTAGGAGAGATATATTCTTCTCACAGCCCATAGCCACCACATGCTTCTGCTGTGTCAAGTTGTCACTTTCTTGAAGAGTCCTTGACTATGTTAGGCAATTGGTGTTTGACCTAGAGCTCATAGCAATGTGTTAGCTTATCTTCCTTGTTTTAGTACTTTTCCCTCTGCTTCAACTTTGTTTTGCCTTGCTGTGGACTAATGCCACACAAGTATGGTGAGAAGGATGGCAGAGGATGATGTGTCATGTTGCTGTGCAAGGATTTTTTTGTTATGAAGGATGTATTTACAAATGGGAAAGATTCCAGTGTCTGCTTGTTCCTCAGTTGTGAATTGGAAGGATGCTGCTCCAAATCAACTGTAGCTACTAGACAGCTGTTTAGTAATTGTCTGGAAATGTCTGTTTCTAATTGAACCTTTCAAGCCAACTTTCGTCCTTTTTAACCGAATGGATGAGTATGATACAGCAGATCTCATCACCTGTAGCTGACAGTTACTTCTCAGACTCTGAAGGCTGAACATCATTGGTGCCTTAGTGGAAGTCCAAGAATATTGATTGACCATCCATTTGTTTTTCTTAGTCATGTGCTGTTGTTTGGTTCCTATAGTCAGACATGGACTTCTGTGTACTGCATTCTATACCTATATACATTTGCACACTCCATAATATATGTATTACTGAAGTACTTCTGTGTATTGAAGAGTATTCCCATCCTATATAATGGTAGTCTCACATACCCTAAGTGACTTGTGTTAGCAAAATTGTATTGCTCCTTGGTTACATTACCCTTTTGATTCCTCCTATCAGTTAAGGGACTTATTTATAGTTTTGCTTTCCATTCACATATTGAAAATTTTACTCGTATCAGTCTTTGGTGCCTGGTACCGTTAGACCTACCTCTAGGGTCTTCTGTTCAAATGAGATTGGACTTGGATTTCTTTGGACTGCAGTTGCTTCAGTTAATTCCCCAAAATCTGAATTTACCTATTCAATTGTACTGATGGTACAGGACAAAGGAAAACTCAGTTGAATTCTCTGTCCTGATTCCCTGATTGTGCACTTAGGAAGCCTTTAGTGATATCACTAACTTTGTGGCCTCACTGCTATTAGAAGTTTGACTGTTGCTTATTCTTCCACTGGGATATATCACACACTTTCATAATCATTGGGTTGTGTGTCCCATGCTTATTATGTCCTAGTTCCTGGAAATGTGGGTCTTGCTCAGGTACTGCAGGTTGCCTGTGTAAATAATAATGCTATCAGATAGAGCATGCCTTTGTACTGCTGTGCAGATGTGCTTTTTTTCTGAAGTATATTGGCTTATGGAGTGGCATCTGTTAATACAGATGTTATTCTAAAGGGATCTCCTGCTGGTACATAGTGTGTACAAACAGCTTTAGACACTCTTTAATCTCTCTCTGTGGTAGCCAAGCTCTCGAGTAATGGCGGTGTCTCCTTCCCCTTTGTAGCATATTCCTGGGGAGACTTGATTACAGAGAGATTAGAATCAACAGATCTCAAGAAAGTGGCAACACCTAAATTTGATCCCAACTACTTTGTCAAACAACCTTCTCAGTAACCTTCCTGGAGGAGATTCAGAACAAATATCAGGCAACAGTCACACTAAATATATGTAATGGCTAGCTATGCCTTCTTTGTGTTGTGGTGATACTCAGGTTCTGCAGTATCCATGTACCTCCTGTACCTTCTCTTGATCAGCTAGTGATGTAGAGCTAACCTATGTCATTTCCAGGAATCCTAAGACCCATTGGTTTTGGTTCATTATACAAATTATCTTAATGAAATGGCTTTGCTGCTGCTAGATTGTGGCACTTGTTGCAAATGTAGGCTATGCTAAAACCAGGCAAATTTAAAGTCCTTTGGTGTAAAAAATTTGTTTCTCCTACTTGCTGGGAACAGTTGTGGCTGTTGACACTCTCACTATGTGCAGTGACTTTACTGATGCACAAGATACCATTCAGCCCTCCAGTTGCTGTGTGCTTTTACTGGTGGGAGACAGTGTCTGACAAAGGAGCTTTTGTCTGGAAGTCATCTCAGGGTACGAAATGAGCTCTTGCTCTCTGATGCACTCATGATGATCACAGATATTAGGTTTGCCTTGCAGTGCAGTTATGACTTATGTTCTTTGGACCTGGAACCTCATGACTCCTGTAGCCACAATTTCAGTGGGTGCACACATGGATTTGACTTAGGTCTCGCTTGTATGATAAACCCTTTGTCAGCTCATTTCTCACTCTCTTCTGAGATGCTTGAATGTAAGCATTTTCTTTCTCACACTCCAGCTGCTTCTTTACCCTCTTCTACAGTCAAGCTATAATCCTGTGGATTTGATATTGCAGGCTGTTGCCATGGAAATAATGGTGATTTCACAATTTCAGTGCTGTAAGCACTGCAGGAGACAATGGAAAAGGTGGTTGGCAAGAGATATAGTGAGGATGTGGGGGACAATTCAGAGGAGTTGTTTTTAAACCTGTACTTGGGGGGTGATTCTTTATAATTGTGGGGTTTCAGTGTGTGTTTAATTCTTTTATCTCTTTTTCTTTTTTGTAAATGTGTTTCTATTAGAGGTTGGTTCATAAAAATGCATTCCTACGTTTTTGCAAAGGTTATAACAAAGTGCTGCTAAACTCTCCTTTCCATGTCCTCAGAATAAAAGGACAGTGCTTTCTTTGCAGTTTATAGTAATTCATCTTTGGACAAAAGGGCAAAGGTTGAGATCTAAGCAACTTCTGTTTGAGTCATACATTTAGCCTGAAGAAATCCCTTTCAGGAAAACATTTTTTTTCATAAATAGTAAAACAAGCTGAGAACATCATGGTGAGCATATGTATTTAAATCAGTCTGTGTGAATGACTGTATGAAACCCTAATATATTTGTTATTTAATTTTTAGCGTGCTCTGCGTGCAAACAAGTTTGGTGCTGAAGATCATCTTATGCAGCATCTGTTCTTAGCATTATGTCAGGATTTCCATCTATACTGAAATATTTCCTCTAAATTAGACACATCCATAAAGGTAGAGTGAAGCTTACTGGAAGAAATAACTATGTTATAAAATGAATTGAATTGGCAGCTTAACAAGTCGAAGGCAAGTGGCATCAGATGAGAATTTTTGATACTAAAAGCTTAAAAGCATCAAACATCAGCCTTTTTTTTTCCCCAGCTATTTACAGCAGCATTCCACTGATTAGCATAGTCAGAGAGTAGATATTATCTGTAACTTTTAACTTAAGATCTTAGAATTAATTTTCAGTCTGCAGTAGGAATTAATCAGTAATGAGGGTGATAGTAACCAATTTTTTAATTAAAGATAGAGAAAAAGTGTTTCAACCTATCAGATGTGTTAAAATTATCTAAAAATTGCTTTGAAAATATTTTGATCTTTTTCTGCTTGGCATTCCATAAATGGAGATACAAAGATCAGCTGTTATATATGAAAGGGAAACAATAAGGAATGTTCAACATGACTCTGGCTTTGTTGGGCAATGTGATTAGGAAGTCAGGTTCTTAAGGATGGATCTAGTCCTTTGATGCTTGTGTGAATGGAAATAGTCTACTTGTGTGCCAGTACTCATATCTGAATTTCAAAAATTCTAGGCAAGAAACTTGTGAGGAAATGAAAATGACAAAATGAGCCAGAACTGTTTAGGCAGGGCCTGGCCTGGAAAGATGCAAAGTGTCTCATACAGCTCTCAAATCTAATTGCAGTTGTGGGCATTTGTTAGTACTGAGAATTATATAAATCAGACCTTTAAAATAAATCAAAAGAGAGAAGGTGTTTTTTTCTGAACAATATTTATTAAAGAACAGTTTTTGTCATGTAATGTTGCTCGGTGCCAAGTAAGTTTTTAAGCCTTATATAAAAGCCCATTTTTGATGAATTACATTGGAGTATTATGCTTGACCTAAATTTGCTGCGTAACTGAATATATATGTATATATGTATAAGATTGGCTGTAGAATTTTCTGCATTGGTAGAATACAGGTAGCATTTACCTTCTGTCTTAAAGTCAGTGTGATGATAAATATACTGATGATAGGTTGTGGGTTTTTTGATTCCTTCTTGGAAAATTTGTTTAAAACTCTTAGTTAAGGAGCCATTTAGCTGCAGGTGGTGGTACCTGACTGATAGGTGAGGTCTTTAATGATAGATGAATTGAGAGACCTGCACAGTAGTTGCATGTTTCAGTGCCTCATTGCCTCTGTTCCTGTTACAGGTGCATGGTGACAGCATCGCAGCAATGAGTGGAATTTTAAAGAGGAAGTTTGAAGAAGTTGGTGGAACCTCACCCTGCTCATGTGTGTGGGAATCAGATGATGATGTTTCCAGCAGTGAAAGTGCTGACAGTGGAAGTAATGTCCATCCATCTGCTTCTAATCATTTTACCCGTAAGTACTAAAGGGGTGTGTGTGTAAGGCATGATGCTGTGTCTTACACAAGCTAAGAAGGGTTCACTTTACTTGTTAGAAAGACAGTGAAAACTTTCTGCTTTTTGTTTTTTTTAAGCATTTTATCTGTTTTATTACATTTAAATGCTGGCACTCTGAGGAAGTACTTATTTTTGAAAAAAAATAACTATTTCCTCTGGTAATTGTTTCTGTGAAAATTTTGATGTCGGTATGAGTTTCAGAGGAAGTTCCATGTTTGTGCTCTATCATTCACGTCTACTTAGCGTGACATGTTTTAAGCATATAGGAGAATGTCTTCCATTTTGAGTGATGATTTAGGAGAAGGGGGAATATTGGCAGTAATGTGAAATGAACATGCCTTTTTCAGAATTAAAGATGGAAGTCTGCATGCATGCGTTCACATGCATATATGCATATATTTATAATGTGAGAAAAGCATAACTATGTATGTTATGCTTTTGTGTATGTGCTTTTTCAAGTGACACATGTATACATGTGCTTGTGTTCATATGCACGTACACGTGCAGTAATTGTGCTATGACATACAGAAGCCTTGAGGGATATTTTAAATGTAAAGTCTGTGACAGAATGCCACAGAACTGAAGAGTGAGAAGCTACAGGGTTTTATACATATTTTTGACTAGGGTCTCAACTATGGTAACAGAAGAAATATATTTGTCTCTCTCCCACTGAGGTTTATGGACTTGTGTGAATCAGGTACTCTTCTAATAAGAACCCTGCAGTAAACAAATAAGTCATGCTGTTCTTTTTAAGGAGATTTGAATTGTGAGGTTTTTTCCTTTTTCCATGTAAAAAAAGTTTATTATTTCACTCATGGGTTGCTTGCTGGTTATTTTACTGGAATCAGGATTTCACTTTGGTTTTAATTCCTAAGCTCATGGTTAGGGAAGTTAACAGGCAAATTTTGCTGTCTCTATCTTAGGTGCAGCTGGAAAGTTTCTCTGTATATATGCCAGTTAAACTTCAATAGGCTGCTGAAGCATGTTACACACCAAGTATGCTCACCCTCCCATTAAATGTAATCCCTAAGCAGGGTGGGAATGTGGGTGTGATGTGAGCATCTAAAGTTGTTTAGCAGGTCTGGAAATTCCTAGATGCTATCATGATAAAACAGTTTATTTAAGGCAATTCTAGGAAAGCATAGGGAATCCAAGTACCTGTTTGCTCTCTATTCAAAATATGTGTACCTAGTTATCTGGAAAGAATAAATTAGAGGTTCAGAGGGACAATATGCTGGAGGAAACCAGCTGAAACAAAAATAACTCCCTTAAATTTCTCCATTAAACTTAATTCAAGGCTTCTGAGATGGTTATTTTAAGATCTGAGTACTTCCACATCGCTGCTTTTCGTGTTACTTGTAGTTCAGCTAATCAGTTTGCTCACCTGCAGTGAAGCCAGTCCAGTAATATTCCTGTGTATTATGACTATTTTCTTTTCAGCAGGGTGATCTCTGCTTGAAGGGCAAGTGTTTGCAGTAAGGCAGCCCTGTCAGTTAGTAATTATGAAGTGTCAAGTGGTTCCAATAAAAGGCAGGAAGAGCCCTGGAATTGAAGCTGGTATATGATTTAGCTCTTGGTTATGAAAAGGGGAAGATTCTTGTAACCTGTTTTAGTCAAGAGTAGAGTTATATTTTACAGAGTTTCATGTCATAGGGAAAAAGCCTGAGATAATGTTTGGAATGGAGCTGAACTGTCTTGTGTGGGGCAGAGGTCTGCAGATAGAAGTCTTTTTCTGAGCAGCATTTGTAAGAGACAGAAACTATTGACAACATAGATTTTTAAAGTGGTTTGTGTCAGCTTAAAAATTGCAAAAATGGGATCTCAGGAATGCTGAGAACATTGACCAAAAGTCCCAGGCTATCTAAGATGTTTGATCAGAGAAATTCAGTTGCCTTACACCATAAGCTTGCACTGAGTGTTTTGAGAAGTCTGTTTGCTGTTAATGTAGCCAGTGTGTAGAGCAGGAGCAATAGCAATAAATGCTATTATTTTCCAGACTCTGAACAGATTATTAAAAACAATAATAATGCCTATTGTTTTAATATTCTTTGTTATATTTGGAAACTTGTAGACTCCCTGGTTAAATTTATAGAAATACCTCCAGTACAAAAACCTGAACCTGCAGACATTTTCCATTGCTCTGTTGTTATGTCATGACTGACTTCAGTTTTTACAGTTTCTATGACAACTGTGATTTTTTTTGATTGGTAAAGAATCAAGCACTAAAGGATTTTCTGGAGCTGTGAAGTATTTTTCCATCAAAGGAGAAGAGTGAAAATATCAAGATGCTTTTCACTAATCACTATTGAAATTGAATTGCTGTCTAAATGTAGATACCTGTTTGTGGCAGGCTCCATGTACACTAATTTTTCAAACAGAACAGATGAGAAAATAGCCCTGTTACAGTTGCTAAATAATTATCTGGAAAAATAATGATAATTTATGCTTACAGTTTAAGACATTCATATTTTTCAAATCATGTAGGTATTGACATTCCCAGGTTAACCCTTAGAGAAAGATACTTATCAAGACATGGTTCAAAGCAACACAACTGGATTATTTTCTGAGATTCTTAGGCAATTTTTGTGAGTCATCAGCAAAATGGTACTTGGGAACTAATGATGAAATTACATTAGGTGGGTGTGGGAAAAAAAGAGATTAACGGAATGCACAAGTGAACAGTTTGTGGTTACTGGGGAAATACAGAGAGGAGCTAATAATGAGCTCATCAGGGTGGGAAGAGAGCTTGTGGACTATGTGATACGTGAAGGAAAAGAGAAGGAGGTTCCCCAAGATGAGGAGCTTGACAAGCAACAGGGTGTTTTTCAGTAAGAGCAGGAAAGCAATGGTAACAGATTTTACTTGGTAAATATGTCAGCTTGCAGAAAGGGCTACAGATTGGCTGGCTCAAAGCTGGGAAAAGGAGGGGGGGCTAATGAACAGAATGAGAACGAGCCAGCTTATCAAGATCAAAGGAATTTAATGCTCCGGGAGTTTGCAAATTCTTAGTCACTGAAAGTGACTCATCCTCTTTCACTACATTGATGTATATGGAACATATATCAAAAACAAATTAGAAAATTACTGGGAAGTGTTGATTTTGATTCTATGGCACATCTGTATCTGTGCTGCATTTATTAGAGAAAAGCACCTTGCACTCAGGATGTATGTATAAGGCCTGGTCTGTATTCAGTAGTGTGCACTGTCAGCAGCTCTGGAACCATCTTTTGCCAGCAATTTTAGTTCAGAATGATGCTAAAATAATGTATGGGATTCTATTTGCTGATCGAATATTGTCTGTGAGATTGGATAAAAATTAAACATGATGGTTAGATAAACATGATGGTTAGATATAAATCCTTGATTTGTTCTACAGAATTAAAATTATACCAGATCATATCTTAGCCACTGGGTTTAGACTTTATAGCAGTTGCTCTCTCTAGATGCTATTACAATATGCAAAATAATTTTAATAACTTTACAGTCTCATTTATAAAGTCAAAGAATATGAAGTTTCTTTTTTCTCTCACCAATGATGCATGTAATTTTAGAAATGCAAAATCATGATTACCATGGCTTTTTTGACAAAGAGGGATGAACGTGCCTAAGCTCACAGTTTTTCAAATTATTTCCAAAGTTTGTTTTTTTCCAGCTAACTTCTAGCTTGAGCTAGTCTCAGCTAAAATCCTTCTCTGCAGAAATTATAATATTGGGAAGTAGGTGATTTTTATTTTAGTGAAGACTTGCTCCATGGTCTTTGTCAAATAAGATCAGAATTTTAAAATGTTGTTTTTAAAGGTAAAAAAGCCTGAAGATGTCTTGGGTACTAAAAGTAGCTGTCCCTTTTTCAGGTACAAGGAAGCATTATGACAACATCTGGATACCAGTGAAAGCTGTGGGTGGCCTGGTACCATTACACTAGCTTCTGTAGGGAAATAATTGGTGAATCAAATCACAAAGAAGGGAAAAATGGATATTTCTGTTACCAGTTTATAACTATGAATAGATTCTTTTTTGTCTGAAAAAAGTTTCGTGCTTGCTTTCTCCTGACTGCTGTATCCTAATGCTCACTTTTATTACTGGTGAGAGTCCCAGTGGCCTTCAGCAGCTTTCTTTGAATTGCTTTATGTGCTCTTACAAAGCAAATGAAGCCTCAGAAAGATTATTGCTATATCCTCTCTCCTCATCTAGTGCCGTGATCAGTACATATTCTTCATTTCGAGCTAGTTTAAAATGTTTCCTACCGGTCTGTGTAAAGATGGTTTTAAAGATGTTTTGAAATTTAAAGCCAAGTTAGATTCAGGGATTTGACAGAGTATGTTGTCTTACTGACCAGGTTGGATGGGGGAGACTCTGAGCAGCCTCATCCTCAGAATCCTGCCTGGGGGTGGGAGGTTGGAACTAGATGGTCCTTAAGGCCCCCTCCAAACCAAACCATTCTGTGATTGTCCATTACAGTGACCTTTGTAACTAATTTCAGGCTGGAGCACCCTCAATACAGGTGCCATTGTGCAGTGTTTTCTCCTTACTGAACATTGCTCCTCTGCTCTTTGCTCTGATTTAGCCAAGCACTAACTTAGCAATAGGGATGACTGAGGGCAGTTAACTCCAACATAACAGCACAGATTCTGTTGGTAGTGGATCTTCCAAAGAAAGTTCCTTCCAGGGGCTTGTGCCTGCTCAAAGGTTTTTCCTCTATCAGTTGATACACCTGTGGCTTGTGTGAACATGCTGAGCTTAAGTCTCTAGCAGTGAGCTGGGAACAGCCTTCTCTGGCATTTGGCTTGGTTGGTCTTTTTGTGTTTTTTTTTAATAGACTAGCAGTTCTGCTTGCAAAGCAGAGGTAACAAGCAGATGAACTTAGTCTTTTGTCTTGGGGCTTCATAATGAAACCATTCTAATGCTTACAAGAAAGATGCAACTGTATTTTATCTCTGTTTGCAGTCTTACCAGACTTCG